AAAATTGTGAACATTCAAGGATTATGGGGATCCCTTTGTGGACATTATTTATAAATCTAATGTTCCATATTCTTTTTTTAAGCGTTCTGCTAAGGCGAAGTTTCAGTTGCTCTAATACTATGCACTTCCAGGAATGTGGCGCCAAGCGAAGCTGCCACTGGGATCCGTGCAGTCATCTATAGGCACCAAGAGTCGGACAACAATTATGTGGAGGTAATCTTTTCTTTTGATTGAAGGTAGTCAGTGATTTCCTGTTCTTGAGATTTCGAGCACCTCTGTCCTTAAACTTCTTTTTTCTTTCTAAACTGTTTTCTACTCGAAGTTGTTTTCCTAATGCTTGCGTAATTCATCAATTATATATAGTCAATTGAGGCAGCCTTTCTAGTAGAGAATTGCGTACATAGAAAAGTTGTAGATAAGATGATTTGATTAGTAATAGAATTGCTCTGTACTCTTCTCATGATTGACTACAAATTTGTTGATAATATGATTGGACCATCGGTTGAGTCATACCTGTTTTCAATCGTTTATTTATTTATTGCTGAGTAATTTGGGTTAAGCTTATCATTGTTTGCAGATTGCGCAAACAGAAACTGTTTTTGAGCAGACCAATGTCACATTTCAACATCGATGTCCTCTAACTTATCGATTTGATAGGCTAGAAAGGCTTAAAGTTGCTGTGTGAGTCATTCCCTTCATTTTTCACTATTACTTCCCATTAAATATCAATTTCAGGTTTTGCGTAAAAGATGACAGTGGCATCTTCAGTCATCGAATTGGTGAAGTCTACACAGATGTAGCTACCATTATCGCCAAAGGAACTTCCATCTCACTTCCCTTGTCTCCTTCTGCTGCTATTGATCTCTATATCACTGTTCCTGGCTTTTATTCGCACTATGTCAAGCTAAAATTCTGTGGAAATCATTTGCAAATTCACGAGAATTTGCCATTGGCTGCTTACATGGTATTTGTTCTGAAAACTGAGAATCGTACGATCCTTCTGCATAAGAGCGAAGTTGTAAAAGCAAAAAATCCAAAATGGAAAGAATTTTCCGTTCCACTCTACGTGATACAGTTCTTTCAACAAGGAGCTTTGCAAATCTTTTGCTATAACCAGAATGTGAACGCGGCAGACACATTGATAGGTTAGTTTGGGAAAATAATTTATCAAAAGTTTTTTTTTAAAAGTTCATGTGTATCATCGTGCTTTTCTGAAGAAACGCTAGTATTTGCTGAGTTACACGGTTTAAAGCCTTTTTGCAGGCTTTTGCAACACTTCTATGGCTCAGTTGGAGCGAGGAGTTGGCGCTCTGAATTCATACATGGTAAATGGCCTCGTTAAATATCGTTTTTTCATTGATACTCTTTCTCTTTAATTAATGCCTAAATTTTCAGCTGATGAACTTTGAAGGGAAACGTATGCATGACAAAATGTCTATTGATCTGGAGTTGATGGAATTGGTTCAGGGGGAGTCATTCTTTAATGCAATCAAGGAAGGGTAAGTTTTACTTTGACCCATCTTATTCCAGACTTTTCAAATTGATTTCACTTCTTGACATCTATCTTTCCCCCTTTTTATTGATGTAAAAGTTTCTCCAAAGTATCTCCTTAGATGTAAATTGAACATTTTTCATCAATTTTGGGATAGGTGACACAAAAGTTAATCTTTGCCAAAGGCAATTTTAATTTTAGTACTCTTAATCCTACAATCTTCCTCGTCATGATCGGTGTGTCCAGGCTTATTGCAAAGCGCAGTCTTGTTGTACTTTTTAGCACTCAACTACATCTCACCACGGCAATAGATTTATCGGCCTCAAATGGAAACCCAAACGAGCCCGGTTCTCTCCATTTTATTCATCCACACACACAAAGCCCTTATTTCAATGTGATGCTTCGCCTAACGCCATTGTTCCTTAGTTATATGGCTAATTCCAGAATAGGTATGCAAGTCGTTGAAGGCAGTAGATAAATATCGTAGAATTAGTGGAGTGAGCATTCAGGTGCACTTGGTTTCGGCGCACGAACACAGCCTCGATTTGAGTTGTCGCAGTGTTTTGCACTGGTGAGCACTTCTATCTCAAGTTTGCATGCATAATTGTATCGATTTACATTATCTTCTTTTGTGGGATCAAAAGGCAAATGATTCACTTGTATTTTGTTGGCTCAGGGCATTTCAAGATCGAATTATGTTGCATGCTTGCCGCTCATTACTAATTTTTTACCTGTTCTTCACCTTTAAATACATTTTTTT